TCCATCCATCCATCTATATGTGCATCCATATATCCATACATATATAAAGCATCCATCCACCCACCCATCCATTCATCCATAAACCATCCATCCATTCATCCATCCATCCATTCATCCATCTCTATATACATCTATAAAGCATCCATCCATCCATCCATAAGCCATCCATCTATCCATTCATCCATCCATGTATGCATCTATATATCCATCCATCTACAAAGCACCCATTCATCCGCTCATCCATCCGTCTATCTATAAACCATCCATTCATCCCTCCATCTATAAACCGTCCATCCATGTGTGCATCTATGTATTCATCCATCTATAAACCATCCATTCATTCATCCATGCATGCATCCATCTATCCATGTGTGCATCCATATCTATAAACCATTCATCCATCCATGCATCCATCCATCCATCTACAAAGCACCCATTCATCCACTCATCCATCCGTCTATCTATAAACCATCCATTCATCCATCCATCCATCCATCCATCCATCCATCCATCCATCCATCTATAAACCATCCATCCATGTGTGCATCTATATATCCATCCATCTATAAACCATCCATTCATCCATCCATGCATGCATCTGTCTATCCATGTGTGCGTCCATATCTATAAACCATTCATCCATCCATGCATGCATGCATCCATCCATCCATCCATCCACTGAGAGGCAGGGTAGCATGACGGTGCAGAGTGCACCTCAGGATACTGCCATAGGGTCTACCAAATGTCCATTGTCCTCTGTAATTGTCAGTCATTTTGCTATTGATTTGTGTGATCTTATGCAACCTCTCCCTGGGCCTCAGTTTTCTCAGCTGTAACCTGGGGATAGTAACACTTAAGTGTCTGTGAAGGTTATGCACAGCTGGTGAATTGCCAAGTCCAGGTGGACATCCACAGGCATACTCGTGACTTTGGACTCAGAGGGATGTGGCGCTGGACAGTTTCTGTGTTCATAAGTGGATGTCCCTTTGCCTCCAAGCCATGGAACAGACAGTGTTTGAGAGTGTCACCCCAGCAGGTGGTGGCTCCTGCCCTGCTGCCCAGCTTTATGTACAGGAGCTCGGCCTTGTGCCCCATCCACCCTTTCCTGGGAGGGAAGAAGCCTCAGTCATCCGCTGCTGAGGTGAGAAGAAGAGGGGAGAGCTGACAGCTTCTGCGCCCCTCCCAATCCCCAGTAGTCGGGAGCTGCAGAAATAAATGGAACTGTACAGTTGGAGTAATTTGCTAATTTGCTTAAGTAACACCCCCAGTCAAAGACATGACATAAATACCTGAGCGCAGGCTCCACATCCCCAGCTTGGGTGGCAGGATGGATGGGTGATCTGAAGTGGAAATGCGGTGAGTCAGAGCCGAAGGCAGTGATGGTGGCCACCCCCGACCTGAGCTGGGGGTTCTGGCTGCCTCCCTGCTGCAGTGTGTTTGGGGAGGGGCTCGGTGAGGGGTTGCACACTGACTCTGGGTCTGCTGGCCTTGGAGGAGTCTGAGGCACCCGTCCAGAGGTATGGGGTCAGCTGGACCAGCGTCCCCCTCCACAGCCGTGGGGCCTGGGTGGGTTTCCCAGCCTTTGCGCCTCATTCTGCTCAGCTGCAAAGAGGAGATGATAGAACCAAGTACCTTGGGGGTGCTCTAGGGAAATGAGATCTCAGCTCTCCACCAGGGATCCGGAAGTGGCCATCTTTCCTGCTGTGTCCTCCCCGGCCCACCGCCAGCTGCTCAGGCCCACGCAGTCCTCTTCCCTCCTCTCCGCACCCTAAGCCTCGCTGGATAGGGCTTCTCCATACCATGCCTGGTCGCACTGTGGGGCTGTGGGCGGCTTCATTCGCCAGACTCCTGCTGGGGCCTGCTAGGGACAGAGCTGGGGGAAGCAAACCCGCCTGCCTCCATGGTCTTGGAGCTCTCCCAAGAGCACAGCAAGCAGAGTTCCCAGCGCTCTGGGGCCAGGGTGGGCTCTGATGAACAAGAGGAGGGTCGGGGAGGTGGAAGGGGCTTGGAGAATCTCATCCCAGCAGCCTGATTGGAAGAACCTCAGACCAGGGCCAGGCTGTTCCCTTCACATCCCCAGGGACAGAAACCCAAATGCCTGTTAGGAGTGGGCAGTACCTTCAAATGAATGAAGCGGACTAGGTGTGAGACGGTAGGGACAGGTGGGGGCTGGGGCCAGCTGGAGGCATTCATCCTGTCCAAGGGGACACAGACACTCAGCACTTCCTGACTGGACCGGGATGGCCAGAGGTTAAATTGTATTTATTTCTTTATTTTTAGAAAACAAGTAATGAAGTGTTATTAGGAACGTCTCAGATTTTTGATGTTGGCAACAAGTTCAAGTTTTTAAAAAAAAGTTGTGCCAAACAAAATATGTCTGTGGGTGGGTCTGGCCTGCCTGCTTCTAGTTTGCAAACTCCGGCCCAGGGAAGCTCTTTGGTTTTTTTGAACATCAAAAGTTTTGTACATTGATTATCTTCTATAATATCAGAACAGTCCTGCAAGGTAGTCGTGACTTTTCTCATTTTACAGGTGAGGAAACTGAGGCACAGGGAAGCTAAGTCATACAGCTCGTTGGTGCCACAGTGGGTCTGGGGTCTAGGCTGCTGGAGCTGAGATTCTGTGGCTTGCTATGTACCAGTGGCCCCCCGCCCTGGAGTTGATAAATCCTGAAGAAGAAAGAGCAGTGCTTTCTCAAACCTGTAAAGCAGTCTGGGGTGGTCGGTGAGTCAGCTATGAGTAGATTGGGATTTCCTTCCTGTTTTGCAGAAAACTTCTATCTCACCTCAGGGTTCCCTTTCTCACTGCCCTGGCCTACCTTCCCTGGCCAGGCTGGGAACTGGTCATTTGCCGTGGCCATAGGGCATGTGGTTAGACAGACGGCGTAGGTCTTATCTAGCTGGAAGTAGAGAAGAAGCTTATAAAGGGGCTCTGGACTCTTCTATTTCATTGCAATCAGGATATAATAATGGCTGTAGTTATAGGACATGCACCGCTGTAAACCTCACTCTGCCCTTCCCGGGAGCTCACATAAGGGATGGGGAGGCGAGCTCTTCCTAGAGCGCTTCCTGAGAGCTGAGTGTGATGGCACATCTTCTGAGTCTCAGCCCATATTGCGAGCATCCGTTTCCAATAAGAAAAACAATCCTTAGTATTTGGAGCAGAGGCATTTCTGGAGTTCGGTTCCCCATGGAATGCTCACACAGCGGGAGAGGTAGAGGTTTTGGTCCTGGTGGAAAAGGCTCTGCTGTTCCTGGGCTGCTGTGTTGTCCCAGGGGACAGAGCACAGTGCCCATGCTGCTGGGCATTGCCCGGGAGGGTGAGGAGTGAAGGGGGTGTCAGGGAAGGGGCTCAGTGGAGCCTGATGGCCAGAGGAGTGTTCGAGCACCTTGCCTTGTGTGTGACTTAGCAGATGAAGGTCATGGTCTCCCAGGGATAGAGGGGTTGCCTCACGAGGTGTCGGTCTTTTAGCCATAGTTACTGCTTTGTGAACTGGTTATGGAATGTTACCATTTTCCTGTCTGGGCCCCCATCTCCCCGAGGCCCCTGTGCTGTGCTGGTGCCTTCACATGCTACTTGCCTGACCCACCAGGGCACCCTCCGCCCAGGAGAGGCTGGGAGAAAGGCTTGGGTCTCCAAGTGCACTTTCAACATTTCATTTTTTATCCAAATCAGGGCTTACAGGTACCATCTTGACTCTCCAGGCCCATGAGAGCCCAGCAGCTGAGGCTGGTGGGGACTGGGGAGTCAGGGGCCCGAGCCTGGGGTCAGGCTGGCTCTCAGATGGAGTAGGGGGCACAGGGGCGAGTGGCGTTTACTGAGACCGAAGAGCCGTGGTGGTCTTGTTCCTGCATAGAGCCAGTCAGGTGGGTGAAGCCTGCCAGGCAGCTGTCCAGAAACCAGCCCCAGCCAGTCTCCCGGGTGGCACACTCCTGCCTAGGGCATCCGTGAAACTGGACCCCAGAGAAAGATGTGTACCTTGGAGGAACTACCCAAAAGTTCGCACACGGCAAAGCTAGAATGACACTGTTGTAATTCGGTGTCTGTGTACATAGACGTTTTTGTTTTGATTCCATCTAGAGTGCGTTTTGGCTTTGAATTTCCATGGCAGTAGGGGTCGGCCCTATAATGTTTCCTGAGTGTGGGGTCTCCAAACCTTTGAACTGGGTTCTGCAAAGACCTTGCGATTCCTTTCGGAAAGTGGAGGATAGAGTCCCAGATACCCAGGGGGTAGGGGCCTGGGACCATGAGGCCGGTGACAGCTAGGACTGGGGGTGCAGGGTGAGGGGTCTTCTACCAGTAGACAACTAGTCCAGAAAGAAGAAACAGAGGAAGAGAAGTCCCAGGATAAGGCCAGGCACTCTGCAGCTTAGCGGCCTGGGAGGAACCTGTCCAGCCTCCTCCCGATGATCTCAGGGGCCGATGGCCAGTGGAGGCCTGGGCAGGCAGGACCCTGGGGACAGTGATCCTGTCTGAGGATCTGTCTGAGTGATCCTCTGCTGCCTCCTCTGATCTGATGAAGACACCTGTTGGGGGCCTGGCAGCAGGTACTCCATCAGCGATTCCAGCAGCTTCCTCCTGGCCGCCCCTCTCTCAGCTGTGCTGTGGCTTCTGGAAAAGCTGACAGCTGTGTGCTGCATGTCTGTCTGTGTCCGCCCCTGCAGGCAGCCTGCCCTACGAGTACAAGATCGTGATCGCAGGCAACCACGAGCTGACCTTTGACCAGGAGTTCATGGCCGACCTCATCAAGCAGGACTTTTACTACTTCCCATCTGTGTCGAAGCTGAAGCCGGAGAACTATGAGAACGTGCAGTCGCTGCTGACCAACTGCATCTACCTTCAGGACTCGGAGGTCACCGTGCGGGGCTTCCGGATCTATGGCTCCCCATGGTGAGTGGGCCTGGGCGCTGGTCCTGCCTGCTGGCAAGACCAGAGCTGAGGCTGAGTGCAAGGGCTGTAGGGGATGGGAGAAGCAGCAGGGAGCTCCACATGCGAGGCTCAGGACTGAATCTTGCCCCCTCACCCTCTGTGTGAACCTAGGCAGGTGACTGCTGCTCTCTGGGCCTCTCTTCCCCCATATCTCACTGAAAATAGTATGATCAGGTGTATCCTGTGTTACGCTGTGCACGATACTAGCTCACTTACAAGCAGGTACTATTATCTGCATTTCACAGGTAAGAAAACTGAGGCCCAGAGTGGGCGAGGACCTTGCCGAAGGTCACACAGCTAGGAAGGGGCAGAGCTGGGATTAAACCCGAGCGATTTGGTTCCAGAACCCCTGCCTTTAATGAATGTTCTGTAATGCTAGGAATCTTTCCCTGGTGCTGTCTTCCTGCTCCACACAAAAAAGATGCATATGTCAGGGGCTGGGCGAGATGATGATGGTAATAATGATGATATTGGTGGTGATGGTGATGATGGTGATGCTGATGGTATAGTGATGATGATGGTGATAATCATGGGGATGGTGGTGACGGTGATGATGATGGTGGTGGTGATGGTGGTGGTGGTGATGATGGTGTGATGATGATGGTTGATGATGATGGTGATGCTGATGATGATGGTTGATGATGATGGTGATGCTGATGCTGATGGTGATGATGGTGGTGATGATGGTATGGTGATGATGTGATGATGGTAATGAGGAGGATGATGGTGGTGATGATGATGATGGTGGCAATGGTGATGGCAGTGAGAATGACGATGGTGATGATGGTAATGATGCTGGTGTGATGATGATGGTGAGGGTAGTGATGGTGATAATGGTAATGGTGGTGATGATGATGGTGGTG